ATTTTAATTTTTCTTTTCTTCCTAATGCCAGTCTGTAATAATTGGAAATTTTAGTGACCTAGAGTAATTCTTACGATGAATGAGAGAGAGAGAGAGAGAGAGAGAGAGAGAGAGAGAAAGGAAGAATGAAAAGAAAGAGAGTTAGGAGAAAGAAAAAGAGAGTGAGAGAGAGACAAAGAAAGAAGGAAAGAAAGAAAAGAAAGAAAGAAAGAAAGGAAGGAAGGAAGGAAGGAAGGAAGAAAGAAAGAAACGGAGGGAGGGAGGGATGGAAGGAACAAAGGAAGGGAGGGAGAGTGGGAGGGAGGAAGGAAGGAAGGAAAGAAGGAAGAAAGGAAGGAAAGAAAGAAGGAAGGAAATAGTATTTGGGGAAAAAACAAAAAGCACCTGTATCTGCTACCCAGCTAGATCCCACCTGCTTTTCCGACCACCTTTGAGGGGACGTGAACTCACCTTTGCATTCGACTCCTGGGCCCACGAACCGTGTCTCTCCGGTGCTGGACAGGAAGCCTTGTTCACAAGTGCAGTAGTAACTGTCCAAAGTGTTGGTGCAGGTTGCATTAGCTGGGCAGATGGTGGAACTCGCACACTCATTCACATCTAGGCAGCGTAGAAGGAAAAGGTTGAGTTAGCGCCCCAGAGCAGGGCTGCAAGGGGAGGCAGCATTTGAGAGTGAAGGAGACTGTTGTGGGTTGAATTGTGTCCTCCGAAAAGAAATGTTGAGTTCCTAAACCTGGTCCCTTAGAATGTGACCTTATTTGGAAATAGGGTCCTTGTAGATGCAATTAACATGTAAGTTAATGTGGGATCATGCTGGAGAAGGATGGTCCCTTAATCTGATATAATTGGTGTCCTTATGAAAGGGGTGAAGAGGCACAGAGACAGGCTTGGGGAGAACACCATGTGATACCAGAGGCAGAGATGGGAGTGATGCATCTACAAGTCAAGAGACACCGAAGATTGCCAGCAACACCAGAAGCTAGGAGAGAGACACGGAGCAGGTTCTCTCCCAGAGCCTTCAGAGAAAGCACGGCCCTGCTGACACCTTGATTCCAGACCTCTGGCCTCCAGAATGTGGGACAATACTTCTCTGTTATTTAAGGCCGCCAGTCTACAACATTTTGTTATACAGCCCGAGCTTCCTAACACAATGGACAAGAGAATTCATCTCTGTGTGTCTCAATTTCCCCATCTGTCAGACGAGGATAATAATACCCACCCCACAAGGTCATTCAGAGGATTAAATAAGATGACCTCTGTAAAGCGCTCACCACAGAGCCTGGAGCACAGTGAGTTCTATGCAAGCAAATCTTAACTAAAATAAATATTAACCGCTAACATGTCGAGCTTTGTTTGTGGCAGGCATTGCCGTAGATCCCTTACATGTGTTAGCTCCATGAATGCTCATAGCAGCCCTATGAGCTATAAACTAACAGTTCCACTTTTCAGAGGAGGAAATTGGAAATTCAAAATTGTGCAGCGTCGCATAGATTGTGAAAGGCACAATGAGGATTGGAATCCGGGTTCTGTCTGGCTCTGGAATGTTTGCATGACAGCTTCTCAGTCTGTCTTGAGTACCAGAGTCTGGGAATTGGGTGATTAAATCAATGTCTGTCCTACGCAAGCCCACCTTGAGCTGCCAGAGGTTGCAGCCTCATTTGGAGGCAGAATGGCATGGTGGTTGTGAGTATGGGGCGTGAAGTCACTCCTGGGCACACTCAGATCCTGACTCTCTTACCTCTTATCTATTTGGCCTTGGGAGGGTGATTCCACGACAATGGAGGCTCACAGTCCTTGTCTGTGAAATGGGTCTACAATGCGACCAATACCATCAGGTTGTTGGGAGGACTGAATGAGCACTCTTGAGGGAGAGCTTAGCGCCTTGGCTGGGATCCTGCCTCCAGCCTTTTGTACCTGGTGTTCCCTCCTCCTGGAACATCCTTCCCCAGACACCCAGTCTCTCACTCCCTCACTTCCTTCAGATCTTGTCTCAAATATCAACTTCTCAGCATGGCCTCTTCATACCACCGTGTTAAAATTAGAACCCCACCTCCGGAAATCTATATCTACATTTCCTACCTTATTTGTCTTCATCTCCTTTAAGTATCCCTAACACACAATATGTTCATCCATCTATTTTTTGTTATCTATCTCCCTCCACACTAGAAGATAATTTCCAGGGGGACAAATATTATTGTTTGTGTTATTCACTGCTGTATCGGCTGTCCCTACAACAGAACCTGCTGTATTGTAGATGCTCAAGAAGTATTGGTCGAAGGGTGCAGGAGTTAATGAATTAATGAGTGAACGTATGAATGAATAATTATTAGCTTCAGCTTTGAAGATAAAGTCTTCGAGCTCAGCCGAGACCCGCCCCTACTTCTCTCCCACCATTGCTGAATTTGCAAACAGAATTGGACCCTATCCCCCAACAGATCCCTCCACCTACCTTCACACGTCTCTCCTGGACCACGGAATCTCATGTTTCCACTGCTAGAAACAAATCCTGGGTTGCAGACACAATCGTAGCTTCCAGGACTGTTGTGGCAAGTCGCATGCTCTGGGCAGGCTCTGGGATCCACACATTCATCCACATCTAGAGAGTGGAGGAGAAAACCCAGGTCAAGGAAGACGAGGAAATTAAGACAGGAAACTGCAAGTGCAGATTCGCTCTACATGTCCTTTGCTTGAGGCACACAGCGCTGAGGCTCCCCAATACCCACATTCTCCCCTTCTTCCTAACCTCCCTTGCAGTTAGGTGGGACCAAGAGAATAAATTCTGGCCAATAATATGTAAGGAAAAGGGTGATGAATAATTTCAAAATGTAATGATAACAGATTTCACAAATGGCCGTAGTCTTTTTTTCTTGGCATAGAGAAAAAAGATATGTTGAGGTACTTAACCTGGTCTTAGAGAATGTGACCTTATTTGGAAATAGGGTTACAAAGACCCTACAAAGTAGTTGCAATTAAGATGTAAGTTAACATGGGATGATGCTGGAGTAGGATGGTCCCTTAATCTGATCTGACTGGTGTCTTTATAGGATGAGGAGAAGAGGCACAGAGACAGGCTTGGGGAGAACACCATGTGATGACAGAGGCAGAGATTGGAGTGATGCGTCTACAGGTCAAGGAATGCCAAGGATTGCTGGCAAGACCAGAAGCTGGGAGAGAGACACGGAGCAGATTCTCTCCTAGAGCCTTCAGAGAATGCAAGGCCCTGCTGACACCTTGATTTCAGACCTCTGACCTCCAGAGATGTGAGAAAATAAATCTCTGCTGTTTAAGGCCCCCAGTCTGATATTTGGTGATGCAGCCCAAGCTGCCTAACACAATGTGCAAGACAATTCATCTCTGTGTGTCTCAGTTTCCCCATCTGTCAGATGAGGATAATAGTACTCACCCCATAGCGTCATTCAGAGGATTAAATAAGGTGACCTCTGTAAAGCGCTCCACACAGAGCCTGGAGCACAGTAAGTACTAGGCAAGCAAACGTTAACTAAAATAAAAATTAACTACTAATATGTTGAGCTTTCTTTGTGGCAGGCATTGACAGAGATCTCTTACGTGCATTAGCTCCACGAATCCTCCTAGCAGCCCTATGAGCTATAAACTAATATTTCCACTTTTCAGAGGAGGAAACTGGGGCTTCACAATTCTGCACTGTCACATAGCTTGTGAAAGGCACAACGAGGATTGGAATACAGGTTCTGTCTGGCTCTGGAATGTTTGCATGACAGCTTCCCAGGCTGTCTTGAGTCTCAGAGTCTGGGAACTTGGGGATTAAATCAATGTGTGTCCTACACAAGCCCACCTTGAGCTGCCAGAGGTTGCAGCCTCATTTGGAGGCAGAATGGCATGGTGGTTGGGAGCATGGGGTGTGAAGTGATATCTAGGCACACTCAGATCCTGACTCTCCTACATCCTCTCTATTTGGCCTTGGGAGGGTGATTCCACGACAATGGAGGCTCAGTTTCCTCATCTGTGAAATTGGTGTAGAGCGCAACCAATACCATCAGGTTGCTGGGAGGACTGAATGAACACATGTATGAGAGAGCTTAACGCATTAGCTGGGATCCTGCCTCCAGGCCTTTGTACCTGCTGTTCCCTCCTCCTGGAACATCCTTCCCCAGACACCCAATCTCTCACTCCCTCACTCCTTCAATCTTATCTCAAATATCAACTTCTCAGCACGGCCTTTCCTTACCACTCTGTTAAAAGTGGTAGGATCCCATCCCTAGAACCCTTTATCTGCCTTTCCTGCCTTATTTGTCTTCATCTCCTTTAACTATTCCTAACACACAAGATGTTCATGCATCTATTTTTTGTTATCGATCTCCCTCCACACTAGATGATAAGTTCCAGGAGAACAAATATTATTGCCTGTGTTAGTCACTGCTGTGTCCGCCATCCCTAGAATAGAACCTGGTGTATTGTAGATGCTCAAGAAGTATTGGTCAAAGGGTGCATGAATGAATGAATGTATGAATGAATGATTCAGCCAAGACCTCCCCCGACTCCTCTCCCACCACTGCTGTCTTTGCAAACAGAATTGGACCTGATTCCCCAACAGATCCCTCCACCTACCTTCACATGTCCCTCTAGGACCGAGGAATCTCGCGTTTCCACTTCTAGAAACAAATCCTGGGTTGCAGACACAATAGTAGCTTCCAGGGCTGTTGTGGCAAGTCGCACGCTCTGGGCAGGCTCTGGGATCCACACATTCATCCACATCTAGAGAGTGGAAGAGAAAACCCAGGTCAAGGCAGAGGAGGAAATTAAGACAGGAGCCTGCAAGTGGAGATTCGCTCTACATGTTCTTAGCTCGTGGCACACAGCACTGAGGCTCCCCAATACCCACATTCTCCCCTTCTCCCTAACCTCCCTTGCAGGTAGGTGTGGTGGTTAGAATAAATTCTGGCCAGTGGTATGTAAGCAAAAGGATGACAATAATGTCAAACATAATGATCATAGCTTGCAGAAAGGCTGTAGTCCTTCTTTTTTAGCATAGACAAAAAAGTACACTGTTTATTCCTTTGTTTTTGTTCATTTGTTTGTGTCATGCATCCATCCATCCATCCACCCACCCATCCATCCATCCATCCATCCATCCATTCATCCATCCATCCATCCATCCATCCACCCAAACATCCATCCATCCAAGCAGCTGTCCATCTATCTATACATCCAGCTTTCCATCTTTTCATCCATCTTTCTATCCATCTATTCATCCATCTATTCATCCATCTATTCATCCATCCATCCATCCACCCACCCATCCATCCATCTATCCAAGCAGCTATCCGTCTATCTATGCATCCAGCTTTCCATCTATTCATCCATCCAAAAGATATCTGCCACGAGTGTGAACTTCAATGGCCACATATATACCCCTATATCCACACCTCAGGATGCAGGTTATGCAGTATGATGTAACTTTGACACTCCTCTCTTTAAATGTGGAGTTTGTTTCCTACCGCTGAATCCAGCTGGCCCTATGACTTCCATTGGCCAATTGAATGCAGCAGAAGTGATGTGGCACCAGTTCCTAACTTTGACCTCTAGATGCTTCTTTGCTTCTGTTCATGCTTTGGGCCTCCTGATTCTGCCACATGAACAAGCCCTAAACTAGCCTAATGAAGGATGGAAGACATGGATCATCCCAGATGAGCCCCAGTCATGTGCGACAGCCCAGCCCAACCACAGCTGACCACAGACACATGAAGAATGTTTGAGACCCAAAGAACTGACCAGCAGAGCCCAACCTAAACCACCAATGCATGGAATCAAGAGCTAAATAAACGTTATGTTTTTTCAGCTCTTGTCATTCAGGGTGATTTGTTACTCAGCAATAGCTAACTGCTAAAAATGGACTAGAGAAATCAGAGATGACTTCAAATATCTCTGACTCCCAGTCAAGGGGATGTGATGAGGGCTGGATCACTCCATGCCCCACTGGATGGAGTCACCCTTCCCATAAATGAATGTGGAGAACAATAGAACCACACTAGACTCAGGAAGATGGAGCCTTGGTGTCTTGGTGAGAACATTCTCACTGCAGTGTGGAGGATAGACTAGAGGCGACAAGACTGCAGAAAGGGAGAGACCAGAGGGGACGCTGCTGCAATACGGATGAAGCCTGATCCAAGGATGGAGAAGAATGGAGAGATTCAAGACATATTTAGCGGGTAGATTCCCCGACACATGATGACTGATCTAATATGGAAGGGGAAGAGGGGTGAGGGTAACTCTCAGGTCTTAATTCAAATATCTTTTAGGAAAAAGTGCTGAGGTTTGGATCTGAGCTCTCCCTAGGACAGAGTTTCTCTACCTCAGCACTACTGAAATTTGGGACTGGATCATTTTTATTTGCGGGGAGGCTGTTCTGTGCATTGCAGAGTATTTAACAGCATCTCTGGCTTCTACCCACTAGATGACAATAGCACACACAACCCCAACACCACCAGCAGCTGCAACAATCAAAAATGTCTCTAGATGTTTCCAATGTCCCCTGAGGATAAAATCGCTGTAGGGACAGAGCCTCCCATTACTCTCAAGTACTGCCTGACCCACTGCTTAAGTCACAGTAGTGCCTCAACAGGAGTTCAAACCCTGGTTCTTCCACTTAACAGCTATGCATCCTTGGGCAAGTCACTTCACCTCTCTGAGCCTCAATTTTCTCATTCCTAAAGTGAGGATCATGATCCCTGCCTCAAAGGACCATCAAATGAGGTGATTCTTAATTAAGTAGGTAAATAAAGAAGGGCAGGCCCTCTATGCCTTCACAGGCGGAGTTGTTAGAGAAGAGCCCATCACGACAGCTGCACCTGTAGCTTCCCAAGGAGTTGGAACACTCAGAATGCTCTGGGCAGATTCCGCTGGAGAGGCATTCATTGATGTCTGAGGAGCAGTGGAGGAGAGTGAGCAGACAAAAGATTGGGTGTCTAGGATGAGAAACACATGTACCCAACTCAGTGATAGCATTCCACCAAAGACCATGCCTGAGAGCCTGAGAGCATTACCTGTGCAGGCGAAACGACCTGGCTTTCCAGGGTTCCAGTTGTTTCCAGTAGGAGAAGAGAAACCAGGCAAACAGCTGCACTTGTACCTCCCTGGCAGGTTTTTGCAGATTGAGTTGTGACCACATTGTAGGGGATTTTGAGAACACTCATCTATATCTGGATAGAGAAAGAGTCAGAGTTACAAAGTTGCTTCATCTTGTGCCTCAGATTGTATTTTCCAAAGATGGTTGAAACAATGTTTCCCTCCCATAAGCCCTTCTTTCAGTGAGACCTTGGTACTCCATCCATCAAGTATTGGGGTCTATATTCCCTCCCCTGGAATCTGAGCATGCTTGCGACTATGGTGGAAGTGACACCAGGTCATAAAAATACCATGCTGGGTCAGAGGAATGTCACGCTGGGTCATAAAAATATAATGTACTTCGTTGTTCTCTTCAGTGGCTCATTCTTGGAAATGAGCTGCCATACTTTGAGGAAGCCAACCAGCCATGAAAATGCAGCTCACATGGGGCAGAACTAAGACATCCAGCCCACAGCCCTGGGGGAGCAGCCAGTCAACAGCCAGCACCACCTTGCCAGCCTTGTGAGTAGACCCTTTTCAAAGTGGATCCTCTAGCCTCCAGTTGAGGCTCAACTGACACTGCATGGAAGCGAGACAAGCCATCCTCCCCAAACTCAGCCCTAATAGCAGATTCATTCATGAGCAAAATAAATGATTGTTGTTTGCAACTAAGTTTGCCGGTGGTCTGTTACCCAACAATACATAGGTTCAACACCTTGCAAAGCCAATTCTAGGAATTTACTTCCTGAAGCACTCAGGGAATTGTGCAGTCATGGTACCATGGTGGGGGGGCCCTCCCCTAATTCCCTTCATCCCTGCTCTGCCAAGTCACCCCAAATAAACACTTGCTATGTACTTGTCATGCAAGCACACATTCAAGACAGGTCTCCTATAGCTCGCTCCCCATCAATTGCACCTCTCCTAGAGAGATATCTGGAGCTGCCACTGGACATCAAGATAAGATCACAGGGACGTTCATTCAGCTTTGTTTCAAGTTGTAAAACATTAGAAAAACCTAAGTGCCTGTCAATAGAAGGATGATTGGAGTTGACTAAAGATTAAAGCTCGTGTTCCTTCATTCAACAAATATCTATTTAACTCACAATGTATCAGGTACCATGCTGGGTGTCAAAGACATACAGTGGACAAAATCGTTGCTATAGTGTCCATCACTTTCTAGATGGGGAACATTGATTTCACACCAAATTTAAACACCAGGGCCCACCAGCACTACTGAGCTGACTGAATAACCCATGAACTGTAGCTCAAAGATAAAGAAGGACATTTGGGGCTCCCTGGCAACCACAGTGATAGAAATGCATTCTCTTCTTCAGAGCTCAGCAAACTACATCCCATAGGTCAAATCCGGCCCATCACTTGTTCGTGTAAATAAAGCTTTATTGGCACACAGCCACATCCATTCATTTCTGTATCATCTATGGCTGCTTGTGCACCACAGCTGGAGCACTGAGTAGTCAGGACAGAGATCATAAGCCTTGCAGTCTCCAAAATATTTACTTTCTGTTCCCTTACAGAAAATTTTGCCAACGTCTGGTCTTATTCAGAGGCATAATCAGATCTTTACTATCAAGAGAATAAGGGTCTAAATATAAGGAATGCAGACAAAGAACTTAGCTCTTTCTGGGAATTATGTCAGTTTATATTATTTACGTTAATATAGCCCTTGATACTGCACATGTGCCTAGCACACTGCATACATTGTTGCATTTAATCTTCCCAACTATCCTTTGAGATACATACTTTTATACACCCATTTTACAGATGGAAGCATTGAGGTTTAGAGTGATTAAACATGCTTCCCCAACACCCCTTAACTAGAGTGTGGCAACTAAGCCACGTGTTTGAGAGACCCTCAGTAAAGTCAGAAAGACCTGGGTTTGAATCCTAGTTCAACTGCATGACCCTAAACAAATCACTTCAGCTCTCCAAGCCTCAGATTTCTCATCTGGACAATAGAGATCATCACAATGCTTACAGTCAATTTTATGTGACGATGCACATAAAGCCTTTCTCACGCAGGCTGGCACTCAATAAATGTTAAAAATTCTTATTATCTACAGGAGAGGTGACTGAAGGCACACCCCAAAAATGAAATCAGTGGTTATTTCTGGATGTTGACAGATAGTAGGATTTTTATTTTCATTTTGATCCTAGTGCTAGCCTCTAACCATTGGAAATTTTTGTGACCAGGAATAATTCTCATGATGAAAGAAAGAAAGAAAAAGAGAGAGAGAGAGAGAGAAATGAAGAATGAAAAGAAAGAAAGAGAGAAAGAGAGAGAGAGAGGGAGGGGGGAGGGAGGGAGGAAAGAAGGAAGGCAGGAAGGAAGGAAGAAAGGAAGGAAGGAAGGAAGAGAGAGAGACAGGGAGGGATGGAGGAAATCATATTTGGGGAAAAAACAAAAAGTACCCACATCCACTACCCAGCTAGCTTCTATTTGATTTTCCTACCACCTTTGAGGGGATGTGAACTCACCTTTGCATTCCACACCTGAGCCCCTGAACTCTGTCTCTCCGGTGCTGGACAGGAATCCTTGTTTGCAAGTGCAGTAGTAACTTTTTGGAGTGTCGGTGCAGGTTGCATAAGCTGGACAGACGGTGGTATCCACACACTCATTCGTTTCTGGGCAGCACAGAAGGAAGGGTTCGGGTTAGTGCACCAGAGCAGGGCTGCAAGGGAAGCCAGCGTTCGAGAGTAAAGGCGACCGTTGTGGGTTGAATTGTGTCCTCCAAAAAGATATGTTGAGGCCCTAAACCTGGTCCCTGAGAATGTGACCTTATTTGGAAATGGGGTCCTTGTAGATGCAATTAAGATGTAAGTTAATGTGGGATCATGCTGGAGAAGGATGGTCCCTTAATCTGATATAATTGGTGTCCTTATGAGAAGAGGAGAAGAGGCACAGAGACAGGCTTGGGGAGAACACCACGTGATACCAGAGGCAGAGATGGGAGTGATGCATCTACAAGTCAAGAGACACCGAGGATTGCCGGGAACACCAGAAGCTGGGAGAGAGACACAGAGCAGATTCTCTCCCAGAGCCTTCACAGAAAGCACGGCCCTGCTGACACCTTGATTTCAGACTTCTGGCCTCCAGAACTGTGAGAGAACGAATTTCTGTTGTCTTAAGCCACATAGTTTGTCATAACTTGTTACAGCAGCCCTAGGAAACTGCTCAGTCAAGGACCTTACAGACCCTAGACTTTGCCACTCAAAGTGTGGTCCGTGGGTGGGCAGCATCAGCATCGCCTGGCATTTTGATGGAAACAGAAACTCCCAGGCCCTGCCCCAGATCTACTGAATGAGAATCTGCATTTTAGCAAGATCCTCAGGTGATGTGTGTGCACAGGAAGTGTGAGAAGTACTGATCTGGACTCTTGCTTCTCCAAGTGTGGTCCAC